CATTTTGAAGGCCTCATACTTCTGGATCAGAGCCAGAGCTTTTGTCTCCTTAACTTGAGAATTTCCCTCATGAGTCATTTTTAGGGATTCAAACATATCAAAAGCAGTTTCCCTGTTTGTAATTTTCTCATACTCTGTATGTGAAATTGCATTCAATAATATAGTCTTGGCTTTGTGGTGATTTCTGAAATCTTTCTTCTGAGCATCTGTCATAGATTTTCTGTCAATCTTCTTGCCATTCCCATCTGTGGGATGGACATATCCATCTATGACTAGATCCCATAGATCAGCATCATATCCTAGGAAAAAACTCTCAATTCTGTCTTTCCAGTAGTCAAATTTCTCCCCATCAAACATTGGGGGTTTGGTGCTGATCCTATCCCTTTCTTCATATTTATTGTTAATATTGGGCATTGAATTATCAGCCATGGTAACAAATAAATATATATCAAAGTATTTCTCTCTGGATCTTTACTGACACTTTTAAGTGGTAGCACACTCAGAACCGGAGCTCTGATGCCAACTAAAGGTGAGATAATACTTAGAAGGGGGGGGTTGAATAAGTATGAAAGATTAAGACTTAAAAAATAATCACACAATTATTTTTATCCTGGTTCGTTTAAACAACTACTCCAGTCCACCCTTCCTAGAGTGATTTGCCTTTCTCAACAAGGACTTAATCCACTATTAAATCAAACTGATTACAATAGTAACACCTAAGAACAACTGTTCTTAGTCTTCTCAAGAGCTACTGATTCCAACTGAATCCTCTTAAGGAAAAACCTTTACAATCAATGTAAATTAAATACAAGAGTATTAATGCTTCTATAAAGCTTTTATCACAACAGTGATTTTTCTCTTAAGTTTAAGTACAAGAAATTCTAAGAAGAATATGAAATAATGAGAGCTTAGAATAATATGATTTCTTTTCAGCAAATTTTTGTTTTTGAAGAATGTGGTGGAGTTCTCCTTTTATAAGCAGCTGATCCAAGGATGCTGAGCGTTGAAAAGAGAGTCCCAAAAAGGTCTGAACCTTTTTGTCTTCACATCAAGTGACCTTTCCTAGAAGTAGATAACACAGAAAAATCCTTTTTGTCTGTGTAATTGTGTCTAGCACAAAAGAGGAAAGAGACGTTGATTTTCTCCAACGGATATATTCTTGAATATTTCTTCTTCAATTTTCAGCAAGTTCTTCAAAGTCTGAATGGATCAGAGTCTTCTAATGATATTCAGAACTTTGCTGTATCAGAGTCTTCTGCAGCATGTGTGCTTTCAGCGTGTTGATTATCAGAGCATATTTGACACAAAACTTCAGTACTTGGCAGCGTTAGTACTTTCAGAAACTTCTGTAGAATTATGCTTTGAGAAACTCTTCAAACAATATTCTTCTTTTCTTCAGATGCTTCAGCTTCAGATGCTTCTGACTATCTTCAGATGCTTCTGACTCAAAATGTTCTGGAGCTTCTTGCTTCAGATCCTTCTGGAGACTACGCTCAGGATCTTCTGTAAAGGGCAATCAGAATCTTCTGTAAGATGCATGTGGCGCTTCAGAGTCAGGATAACTTCTTGTATACAATACAAATTTGCTTCTAGAGAGTTAATTTCATTTCAATCTGCAGTAAAACTCTCAAACAAATTTTAGAGTATATAATTCTTAAATATAAAATTTCCTAACAGTTATCATCAAAACAAAGAGTTATTATTAAGAACCAATCTGTGTTCTAACAATGTCCGACGAAGAAGCTTGAAGGAATCACACCAGAAGAATGTTGGTCTGGTGTCAAGCCTAGTCTCAGTCACTTGAAGGTGTTTGGATATATAACACATAGACATGTTCCAGATCAGTTGAGAAGGAAGCTTGATGATAAGTCGAATCAGATGATTTTGATAGGATATCATTCGATTGGAAGTTACAAGTTGTTCGACCCAGTGAATAAGCTGGTAGTGATCAGAAGGGACGTTATCATAAATGAGCTTAAAGAATGGGATTACTCTGAGAATGTCAAGAAGGAATCAGTGAGAATCTCTTGTGGAAAACCTGCCACTGAAGTTGAAAGTGAAGTTCAACAGGAACAAGTCAGAGATAAAGTTGACCCAAGCAGACCTCGACGAACAAGACACATGCCTGCAAGGTTGCAAGAATGTGAGATTACATAAGATGATGTGGTCGATGAAGAAGGTGAGCTGATACACTATGCTTTCTACGCATATGTCGAACTAGTCAATGCAGCTGAGGCATTGAAAGATTTGAAGTGGGTGAAAGCAATGAATGAGGAGTTAGACTTCATCGAAGTCAACAACACCTGGTCACTTGTCGATTTTCCTCAAGGTAAGAAGACAATTGATGTGAAGTGGGTTTACAAGGTGAAGGTGAATCATAAAGGAGAACTAACTTGACACAAGGCGAGACTTGTGGTAAAAGGATTTCTTCAGAAGGAAGGAATTGACTTCGACGAAGTTTTTGCACCTATTGTTAGGACCGAAACAATCAAATTGGTTGTTGGTCTAGCAAATATGAACAATTGGCACACATGTCAGATGGACGTGAATTGTGCATTCCTTAGACGAAGAAGTTTATGTTGCACAACTAGCTGGATTTGTGAAACAAGGTGAAGAAAAAAATGTGTACAGGCTGCATAAAGCCTTTTATGGACTTAAGCAAACTCCAAGAGCTTGGAATAAGAAAATCGACAGCTTCTTAAGGGAGAAAAAATTTGTGAAGTGTACGACTAAGCATGAAGTGTACGTAAGAAGAAGTAGTAGTGAACTGCTTATACTATGCCTCTATGTCGATGACCTGTTGATAACAAAAAGTTGCAAGAAGGAGATCGAAGACTTCAAACATAACTTAAGTGAGGAGTTTAAAATGTCAGACTTGGGAAATCTCTTATATTTCCTTGGCATCGAATTCTACAAGAGTAGTAGAGGTTTGATGATGTTTCAAAGAAGATATGCAGGTGAAATACTCAAGTGAATTGAGATGCAAGATTACAACCCAACTTCGACTCCAGCTGAGACCAGATTGTAATTGTCGAAGGATTCAGATGAAGATAATGTCGACCTAACCCAATATAGAAGACTTAGAAAAGATTTAGATGGATATGATGTCGACCTAACCCAATATTGGGATTCAAATGTAATTCATTATTTTAGAAAGATTATATTTGATTTAGAAAGATCAAATTTGATTTAGAAAAATCATATTAGATATTTTTGAGATTTTATAGTTTGAGCTTTGCCTTAAAGTGTAAGCTAACCTAAATCTATAAATAGGGAGAAACTTTATTTTGTAAATAACTCATCTCATCATATTTTGTAATTCACAGTTTGCAGTTGCAAGTGAAATAACAGAATTTCCACATTCTGTGGGCAGAAAATTGTTAATCTTCTTCTGCAACATTTACTTTCTTTTTTTATTTCTAAACTTTTCTTTCATTGTCATTACGTGAATTGAAATAATCTTGAAATTAAGATTGGTTGAGTGAAATTCTCCATAGATTGTAGTTGAATTTCCAACAAGTATACACTATCTAATTTAATTATATTATTATTTTAATGCTCGTTACTGTTGTTTCGCATAGCAACTGTTTGTCACAATATTCATCTCTATTGATTTTCAAATTCATGTTACCTAGCATGAAAAACCATTAAAAAAAGCTTCAGTTGGAATTACTCTAAAAATATAAACCGGTCCTTTCTTAATTTTCCTTGACATTTCTTTGGTTTGTGGGATTGGATTGGCCCATACTTTCGATTTTTTTTAATAAATTAGATATCTTCTATATGTAATTGTAAAAACTAATCCTCAACTTAAAAGAAAAAACATAATATTTGAGTTTGAATTGACATGAAATCAGTTTTATATGATTGCCATATGCCTTGATTTGATATTCACACTCTATCCTAAAAGGGTGCTTCCAAAATTTCAAGCATCACTTCTAAATGGAGTAATAGTAATAAAGAATGAGTTAATTACTATTTAGTTTTCAAAATTAATATTATATGACCAGACAAGTTTATCTTTAAATTAATTAAATTAAAAATGATTCCTAAGATTGAAAGTCATCAATTTCAGAAATTATTTTAAGCTTTTATTAACTTCCAAATTAAACTTCCTAATACCTCCAATTTAAAGAACTCAAATAGCCGTTCACTCAAAAATAAAGAAAGCTGCAAATATGGTCAAGACAAGCATGTACTGCCTCCTAATTGCTCAGAAGAGATACCCTGTCAGCTTCTAACAAATTGAGGTTCATTGTTTAATAAATTAAAAAGTATATATGAGAAAGCAAACACTAATCAAACAAATTTTACTTGGTCAATTACATAATTTAATTAATTGTCATCAATAGTATTAACATAGGATAGAATAATACTTTTTTAAGGTTCAATAAATTAAAAAAAAAAATTTATATATTATTTAATAAAAGACACCCCTATCTTACCCTCATTTTACCCACCGGTTTTGTAAGATTGTGTTAGGTCAAATTCTAATATGATATTAGAGTCTATCGATTAGACTTTGGACAGTCCACCTTTAAATCCACACACCAAACCCAAAAAAATAGTACCGGGCGTGAGAAATGTATTAAAAAAATCCTAGAGTCCCAGATTTTATAAGGTTGTGTTAGAACAAACTCTAATAATTACTGAGAAGGTTATCCGGCATGGATGCCTAGTCAATTTTGTAAGCATCCTCAATTATATATCACTCTCTTAACTAATGTTTCCACGTTGTATGATTATATAAAAAGAATACGTTGCCAAAGTCAAATTTCTAGCAATTAATTAACAAATCATTATGCTTAATAAGTCACAAATCACAATAACGTAATAGGAACTTTTGTCTTATATGCCGTCCTACAAATAGACATGCAAGTATGAGTATTTGCTATGTAAGGTTAGCCCCAACACTTATCAAAAAATAAAGACAAACCAAAACAAATTTCATAGAATTTAAAGTATTGTTGTGAAGAACATCATTGTAAGGTTGAAACAATATGTTTGAAGGTAGAAATGCATCTGCACATAATATGTTGCTAGGGTTTATTGCAGGCATTTCAACAGTTATGGCATTAGCCTTATTGTTCTGTCTCTTCTGGAAAAGGATTATTCCATTTCTTAAACAACCCAACGCTTTGAAAGGTGAGACGAGACTTATTACTACAAGAAAATAATTTGTTTGTGTGATCGAACTGGGCTTGAGATATTTTTTCTCTTTTGATGCAGAAAAAGAGTATAAAAGCTTGAAATATGATAAAACATCTTTAAGGTGTTTTAAGATTGAGGAACTAGAGAGAGCTACACAAAATTTTAGCCAAGATTGCTTATTAGGTTCCGGTGCGTTTGGTAATGTCTACCAGGGAACTTTTGAGTTAGAAGGAATATTAGCCATAAAGAGACCTCATTCTGAATCATTCTTAAGTGTTGAAGAATTCAGAAATGGTTACCATCAAAAAATATACAACTTCTTACTTGTTTCTTGCCAATTCTCTCCACAACTCTTTAAGTTATTGTAGTTAATATTTTTTATTTGTTGTTGGCAGAAGTTAGGCTTCTTTCCGCTGCAAAGCACAAGAATCTTGTTGGTCTGGTTGGATATTGTGAAGAACCAGGTAACTATATGAAAGGAAAAAGAGTTCTGATTTTTAATTGTGCTGTAAATATAGAGTTAATGAGTTGTTATGTATGATATTCAGCATAAATTCATGCTAAAATGGACTGATTATTTTTTATCAGAACGAGATGGAGCGAAAATACTAGTCTATGAATATGTAGCAAATGGTTCACTCCTTGAGTACATGATGGGTAAGTTTACTGTTTTTCCTTCTTCATATATAAAGCATATTATGTTACCATAATTGTTGTAAAACAAATAAAGTGTTTGTTCGATGCACATATGGTTCAGGGATATACTTGTAATTTAGGCTATAATAGTGTATATGACTTGAAATATTGAAATCCTAATTCATTTTTTAAGTAATAAAATAGAAGTACAGATGTTCTGTATTTGCAGACGTAGACACGATTAAGGAAAGTGCGTAGAAAATATCATGTTAATTGTTTGCAATTTATGTTTCTATTTTCTTTTTTATTACTTGTTACTATTCTAACAAGTAGGATAAAGTTGTATAATGTTCGCCTCTATGGTAATGATGTGGTTACATAGACTTCTAAAACTATTAGAAGTGTCTGCGTTGCAGATCACAATTTAAAACCATGGCTCTTATACGTGATACTAATACACTCATGACAATTATTGACATTTGTAGGAAACAAAAGGAGAAGCTTAACTTGGAAGCAAAGAATAAACATAGCAATAGGAGCAGCAAAAGGTATAATTTTTAAATGATAATCCATGTTCATTTAACAAAAAGATATTTTAATCAGCAAAGAATTGTTTGGTGCCTTTTATAGGCATAGCTTATTTGCATGAAGAGGTGAAGCCAAGTATAATTCACCGTGACATCAAACCAAGTAATATCTTATTAGGGGAAGGTTTTGAGGCCAAAGTTTCAGATTTTGGGTTGGTGAAATCAGGTCCTACTGGTGATCAATCACATGTGAGCAGCCAAATCAAAGGGACACCAGGGTACCTTGATCCTGCATATTGTTCAAGCTGCCATTTGACCAAATTCAGTGATGTGTATAGCTTTGGTGTCATACTTTTGCAACTTATTTCAGCTAGACCTGCTGTAGATAATGCTGAAAATGCAAGCAACCAACATATTATTGATTGGGTAAGCAATGCAAGAAAACCTAAACTTTTCATTATACATCTAGGAAAGTCCTACTATAGAGTATCTAGATAGACTATCAGAGCCTGTCTTTGAAGACGTGCAAGATAGGCTACCACACCTGCCTCAATATTTGTCATGATTAAACTATGGATAAATAGGGTCTAGTTGTAATAAAATAAAGTCCGTTATACTTGTAACAACTTTGTATGTGTTGCAGGCAAGGCCTAGCATAGAGAAAGGTAGCATTGAAGAAATCATGGATGCAAATCTATTTTGTGAAAGTGAGCCATGCAATATGAAAGTTATGTTGAAAATGGGACAACTTGGTATGAGATGTGTGGCCCAAGAACCAAAACATCGTCCTACAATGACCCAAGTTTGTAAAGAACTAGAGCAGGCCCTCTACTCAGATGATAACTTCAGAAACAAGGATTCAGAAACTCTTGGATCAGTGGAACACTATGATTTCTCACATAGCTTTGTGAGCATAGATGGTGTTGGATTTGAGAAATTTCATGTTGATATGGATAGCTTCTCCTTTAAAAGCACAAACTTAAGGTGCCTAGAAAATAATAGTATTAGTATTGACATTGACACAAACAATTTGAGAAGGATACAATAAATGTTAAGATGTTTAATGAAACACAATCATCGATTGCTTTAACGAATATTAAAACCTGATTCTCATATTATTTTAAGAATTATGTTGAAGTCTTATTTATTCTTACAAAATCGATTTCTAAAATTAAAATTATCTTTATTTATAAATATATGTTTACGTACGAGATTCTTTACACGCTCGGATTTGTTGGCTGTATATAAATTTTATAACAAACTAATGAAAAAAAAAATTTAAAAACAAGGGTTAAAGATTTATCATTCAATAAAATACTAAGATCTTATGAAAGGATGGATCAGATACCAATATGAGGTTATTTATATTTTTCACTTTTCAAAGATGGATACTTGAAAATGAAAAAAACATTTTATTACCTTAGTTAGGCCAAATATTTAAAGAATTTAAGTTAATTTTTTTTTAATTTAAATTTAAATTTTGACCTGAACAATTTTTATTAAAATTATAATACCGAGGACATAACAAGATCTCTTTCTCTTGAAATGAGAGTTAAGAGAGAGAAGTAGAAATTTATCATTGTAATTGTTTAAGAAAAAATATTGTCCAGAAACAATTCTCTAATAATCTAAGAAAATAACAAAATAATAGAAGAGAGAAAATGAATTAGGGTATTTTCACCTTTCTCCTAACTCTTTAGTGTAATCAATTTTTTTATAATAAAAATAGTCTTTTTCTTATAAATAAATTATAAATAAAGGAGTAAAAAATTGAAAAAAATTTCAATCATACATAATAAAAACTAAAATACAAATGCATTGACAATTTAACTACAAACTGATATAAATGAGACAGATTCACATAGTTACTAATGTCTTCGTTACGCGAGTTATTTTTATATTTCATAATTGAGGAAAATGCAAATACAAACTCAAACTCTTTATATTTTACCATTCATAAAAATGTTTTAAATTATGTGTTTGCAATCTCTTAAAGAGAATAAAGAGCATCTCTTTCTATAAAAAAAAATTCAAATATTTACCATAACCATTGATCTCAACTTTTTTAATTAAAAAATAAAGTTACATAAGCACTTTGAAAGATGAGATAATATTCATGTAATAAAGAATATAAGAAATTAATATTTGCGTAACGAAGACATTAGTAACTGTATAATTCTTTATTAAAAATATATAGTCATGTCCTTAAGATTTAATCTTGAAATTATTCAATAATACTTAAGAGTTTTTAGTAGGTTAAACTCTCGAATCCTTTTGTACAAGGAAAAATAAAGTTTCAGACTCACTTCCAATCAAACAATATATATATGGACTAAAGCCGATAGTTTTCCTTCCAAACAGTGAATTAAAGTGGTTAGTCATCTTTCCAAACACGAACTTGAAGTGGTTAGTTCCCAATGTAAACTGAGATATTCTACAGAATTATCTTGAACTAAACCGGATTTTTTAACACGCTATCCTCTTAAACAAACTGAGGTTTTGACCATGTTGACCATGAACCAAGCTAAAATTTTAAACCAGATTGATCTCGAATGAAACTATAGTTTTTAGTAGGTTGACCACGAACCAAGCTGAGATTTTAAATCGGGGTGATCTCGAGCCGAACCGTAGTTTTGAATAGGTTGGCCACAAACCAAGATGAGATTTTAAATCGGTCTCATCTCGAATCGAAATAATTTTTTGCACAGGCTGAGCTTACGAACTGAAACGATGACATGAAAAAATAAATTCTCAATCAAAGCATTTAATAGGTTTAGCTTTGAACCAAAACAAACACTCCCTTAAGGATAAATTATTCAACCAAGAGAAAAACACTTGGTGAATTCACAATAACACCGTTTCCAGAATACAAAATTCCTCATCAAACAAAAATACTTTCTTGAAGCACTATGTTGTACCCCAAAATTTGCCCATCCTTTTTCTAGTTTGACTAACTTTTGCTTCGCATTTCATCTGCATATCATTTAGGTCGATCATTTTTCGCATACTGTCCATGTTACTAGGCAGAATGGATTTATCGGAATTACAACCATTTTACTCACATTTTTAGACAATGTAAACCAGTTCAGATGGTAAGATTTATTTCGGAATCGAGCGAAGGTCGTTCTCTTTTTGGTGGTTCAGTCTGTGCTGGTAATTTTGTTGTGTTTCGGTGTTCGACCCCCTTTTGCATTCGTTTTTATCTTTGTGGCATTTTGTGATTTATTGTTGCTTTAATTTGTTTAGAATTTATTTAGATGTAGATATAGAATTTTAATTTAGATTATTTAGTTATTAGAATTTTAGAATTTTGGATTTTAAATAGAATATTAGAATAGAATTTGTTAGAATAATTAGATTAAAATAGGATTTAGAATTTTATTAGAACTTTATTATAATTTCAATTAGTTAAGTTAGATTTAATTAGGAATAAAACTAATTAGGATTTTCATTAGTTATAGATTTAATTAGAGTTTAGATAGAATTAAGTTCAGTTTAGAATTTTATTAGTTAGATTAGAATTTAGATTTAGAATATTATTTTAGTTATAGTTAGAATTAGGAATTAGATTAGTTAGTTTAGAATTAAGAATTAAGGTTTATTACTTAACTAACAGTACTAATTAACATGATATTAGTACTTTTTTTTATTTAATCAAAATCAAATTCAGCCAACAGCTGGCCACGTGTCAGATTCTGAGTATATAAATCACTATTCATTTTCTTCTTCGAGATAAAAAAAAAACCTAGCCCCTTTACTGTAGAGCTTCTTCTACAATGGACTAACCCTAATCCGCCGCACCCCTGTTCATCTCTCTCCCTAACCCATTTTCGAAAAGCAACTCAATCTGCAGATCTTCCCCCAATTGTCTTCTCCTCCACTATTAACCTTCTTCCATTAACACCATGTGAACCTTTCACCTCCATTTAACCTTAAATCCATAAAATCCAACCGCGAATCCTTCAAATCCGAAACCTATCTCTGCCTTCAAAACGACCTCCTTAAAACCAAACGAAACTCAGTTTTACAGCCATCTCACCAACTTCTGACCTCCAAAAGCAGCACCCTCTTCTTCGATCAAACCTTCATCAACCTCCATCTTCCAACCCACAACCATCATCATAAAAAGAAAAACAGAGGATTGGAGATGAGAGAGATTTCAAAAACCGGAGAGAGAGATTGAGACAGATGAAGACATGGACGAAGGGGATGGATTTGTAACTCGATTTGAGATTGGAAGGAGAGAAAGCTGGTTTTCCTCCATTTTTGGACCGTGTTGTTTATGCGATGCATTTCTCTTTTATTATTGTCTTTTTCTTTTTTCTTTTTAGTTTTTTTTTCTTTCAAAAAAACGTGATGATGTTGGTTTGGACTAGGCCCATTGTGGGTTTTCATTTTTGCACGACCCATTTTGAGGATTAACAGTTGTTTGGTTTCCATGGATGATGGGCTTCAAAGCCCACATGATTTCATCTTTTTTCTTTTTTTTCTAAAAATTATTTATATTGTTAATTAATATTTTGTAAAAGATTTGTTAATATTTTGTAAAAGATTTGTTAATATATTTTAAATAGATAAGTTTTGTTAACATTTTCTATTTTAGCCTTTTTAGAATTTTAATATATCTTTTCTAAGATTATATTTTAGTTTTTATTTACCTTTGAAGATTTATTTTCATATCTCCTCTTTTGGGTCGATGAAGAGACCTCTAAGTTTTTCTGTCAAATTATTGATGAAAAACGATAGATCTGAGACCTATTTTCTTTCAACTTTTCATTTTCGATCCTATTTTCATCTTTGTTCATTTTCACCGCTTTTTGGTCGATGACGAGAGTTCTGTAAACCTTTATTAGTCAAACTATTGATAAGTAATGTTGGATCCGAGACCACCTTCTTTCTCTCCTCATTTCTTCTCCATTTTCGATTTTATTTCAACTTCCTCGATCGATGAAGTCTTGTATTTGTAAGCGTCGCTTTATCGAAGTCGATAACCTTCCCGATTTCAAATCTATGGAAAATGACCATTTGGGTCATTTTCTTTACTTTAGGATCGCGATAGGCTAGCTTCAATTAATCGACATAATGTTTGCGATTAAGACGAGATCCCACTTTTTGGTCCATGTGACACGATTATATCGGAGAATGATCCTCAATATCATTTCTCTATCTTGTCCTTAGCACGGATATCAATTACGCAACCTCATATAGTTCGACTTCCCTCATAAGTCGAGCTACGGCGGTTTAGCGTCACATTGGTCCTGATTCGATTCACTTAATGCTTTTGAACCTTAATTCAAACCCGTAACTGTGATGAGTGTTGTGAGCCAAGCGTTAGATACGTAGGAAATGATAAGTGAGGGGGAGGGGTCTCTTCTCACATTGTCTAGAGTGTTTAGCGTATACCCTTTGGGCAATATGCGACGCATCCTCTCCTTTGTCTTAGGATTTAGCGTAATGTGCGTCCCAAACCGATCCGGTCCCCTTTCGTTTAGGCATTCTAGGCCTAGGACCCTTTTCTCTCGCATCCGTGCGATCGAGACCCCTTTTCTCTCGCATCCGTGCGATCGAGACCCTTTTTCTCTCGCCCCAGTGTGATCGAGATCTTGTCCCGTAGTTGGCCGAACTACGACTACTCTGATTCCTTATTCCCTAATAAGGATACGTAGGCACGAGGATCCCTATCCTTAACGAGCACACTAACAACTAACTTCCCCTTTTCTCTTGCCCCAGTGCAATCGAGACTAACCTGTTATTCTGAACCTTTTTCTCTCGCTCCCGTGCGATCAAAATCTTGTCCCATAGTTGCCCGAACTACGTCTGCTCTGGTTTCTCATACCAGATGAGAATACGTAGGCACAAGACGACGATATCCTGGCGAGCACTCTTCCTTCTTTTCCACCCCTTTACCCAAAGAGTACGTTACTTTTCCGTTCTACCGCAAACAGGAATCGTCCCTAACTGCTGGAATGGAGACTTAATGTTACTCGCAAAAGCACTTAACCAACCTTCACCCGTAGTTTCCCGAACTACGTTGACTCTGACTTTCCC